AACTGCTGCGGGCCCACTATGGTCCACTGCCTTTGACTCCCGTTTAGCTGGCTGTCTCCAATGTTTGTTTGCCCCTTCTATTCTCCATGCACACCCTCATGGCATCCAAGGACTGATGTGGTTGCGGATGATCCTCCAATCGGCCGGGAAAGAACGGAATCAGCCGGGGTGACATACATTAGGACATTTGTTGACATGTTTCAGCATGTTTCAGCAAATTATTGATCTATTGTAGTATTATAAGTTCATCGCTACTAGTAACAAGGGCATTACTAATTAGTAGCATTCTAGCACCAGAGGGCATCGCTACTAGTGACATATTGAGTCAACTTTGAGCGAACTTTTGGACTTCCGGGCCCGGCAGCGATCGCTTGGTGTCGGTGTCGCTTGGTAGGCGGGAAATTTGGTGATGTAAAGACTGACGTTCGAGGGATGCTCGGCTCAGAGTTCAGTTTAAGAGATGATTGAAACGAGTTTGAAATGGCTGGAGCTCGGGCCTCCATGAATTCGCATCCACTCGGATTCTGAGGATGTATGCTCCCGGACACAGAGTGCAGGTTGATGGGGGCGTTTGTTCAATTGCAACATATAGCAACTGATTACGAGTCAAAGGTGTCTATGCCGCCAAGATTGGCGTGGAGGGAAGTGTTTTGCCATTCCTTGAAGTACTCGGGGCAGAGCTCTTTTTTGCAATGGTTCCTTCGCTCCTGTCGAATGAAGGCCACGATTTGGGGCGCACATCCGCGCAATAATTTGCGAAGAAATTCCTCGTTTGTCTCGGTTTGGCGCCTGAAGGACCCCGACGCCAGCGACAGTTTCACATTCGCATGCATAGATCCGCCATGGTATGTGTGAGTTGTTTAGCGGCAAGATCACTTCGATTCTAGCCACAAGTCTCAACTTTATAGCAGCATCGCCAAATAAATGCTTAATATGCACATATATGTGTTTATGTACTGTATATCAGATATATGGGACCGGCCACCTAGCTCGGAACTCTTTTAGAGCTTCTCTTGCTCTGAGAGTGCTACAATTCTTGACTGATCCAGGAGCAGTAGCATCCTTGCTCACCCACCCTTGAGTGGTTTAGTTGTATTTGCATTGTTTGCTGCGCATTATTGAGGGCTGGATTTTGTGGCGGGGTTACAGGTATAGTATATTTGTTTTAACTATCATATACATGCGCCAGGCCTCATCCACAATCATCCTGCTCACCAGCGGCACGCCACGTTTACACGGAACACATGGCATCAAGCCATGCAAACAGTACTGGTGTTGTTTGCTTTTTTGCATGTGCTAATGGATGGACTTTAATTGCTTTACCACCAACACCGCTCCTTCTTTCATCATCCTTCATCAACATGTATTTTTTAACACTAATCAATATTAAGGACATATAGAACAGTTGGAACCGAGTCTGCAGACCAAGTTTCATAATAGTTTGTTGAAGGCGGTAAGTCGTTGTCAATTCTGTGTTCGAAGTTTATTGTGAGAGTCTCAGCTTTAGTCTTTAGCATCAGAATCAGCATTTCACACCACAATTTGCAGCAGAACCTATGAACATGAAAATGACTGAACATGACATGCTCCTTACAAGCGCATTATTCATTGTGTATGTCTCTATTGTTTGTTAATGTCCCACTCATTTATCTTTGACATACTTTTGCTGCGTTTTAAAGTAGGCGTTTTCATCACCTTGTTCAGTCTTGAACAAGTATGTGTTGTTTCATTTCGTGCTTTAGGTGATAGCACCCCACAGCCACTCTTTGCTCACTCAACCTGATTTTTGCCAGTATGTATGGTAGTGGTTTCACTTATGTAATTATTGATCTCCCTTCCTTGTCTACTACGACAGGCAGCCCCGAAAACATACCAGAAATCCTCATGTTTGTTAATTTTTGAAATCTGGCCTTGTTCTCATAGGTACCATCTATCACCTCTAGAAGGACTTTTGCAAGAGACTAAAACACTGCCGAAGAGCTGTAACAGGTCATAGGTAAGCAAATGCAAACAATGCCTCTCTTCCACATTGTCCTTCCTTTCTGATGCCACCACGTTAAGAGAAGCCCTGTGGTCAAGAATAAAGAGAATGAGATTGGAGTAATTACACTGCGCCTGACTGTGAGGCAGCAGGGAGCCATGCCCGGGGAGAGAGAGACTTAGGGTTGTGCAGAGCCTGCTGTGTAGCACCAGTTCTAGAAGAGTGCTAGGACGATGGAAAGACCTGGCACATGGCCGCGGGCTTGGGAAGGGTGTTTGGGAATGTATTTGATGCACGTGCTGCATGTACCAATGTACGTTCTGAATTGAACACCGTAAGCAAAGAGTGACACAAAGGCTAGAGCCGCCAAAGCTTTGTTGGAAGCCGGTATAGGACTGAGACTTTCTAGAAGGTTTGACCTGCAAGGTTGCGGATGACAATGACTGGGAGTTACGCTTTGAATGGAAACGCGTTGGCATCTTGGCTTCGGGCAGAGAAACACGTTAGAACGCGATTTTAGTTTGGTGCTCAATTCTTTGATACATGGCATGCTCCATACTTAATTTTGTCTCTAATGGCAATACCTAATAGCAAACTATATTGCACCTTTTGACCTTTTCCTTATTCAACTTCAAGCCGTAGATGTTGTCCTTTGCGGGCGTGTGGAGTCCCTTTTTTTCGATCCGATGTCACATCTCAGGCATCTCAGCGAGCACAGTGACGATCACATGGGAGATTCCAAAAGATTGTCCTCATGGCAGCTATAGCCTGACACTTCGCAGCAATTCCGTGGATTGAAGTGTATTTGTTTCGTGGTCCGTCACTTACACCAAGAAAGTAGGACATGCCCGTATGTCCTTTTTATTTCAGCCGCAACCGAAGAGCGAATCCCGCCGTCAGTGCTGCAGGCAGTCGTTAATCAAGAGTCTAAATTCCCTCCTGATTGGCACATATTGGCACTACATAGGCCTCAACACGAGCTTCAAAGTTCCTGTAGCACAATCTCATGATGGTTTTAGCATGACTCGTGTCATTGGAAGGCATGTTCAACACCCAAATCTGCTACCAAACCCTTCAAGACTCAATCCAGATCATGCTCCAACCACATCCCTTCTTTGACGAAGCGGTGTATTTTGTAAGCCTGCGGTTTGAGCACCTGAGCCGCCAGCATTCACGCAACTGTGCTGTTGCGCTACAGGTATTATTCAGGGGAAGCCAAGCACAGGTCATCAATCATCAAAATCGAGGGAGGCTTAGCTGCACTGGAGAAGCTGCAGGGTGGCTTGAACATTGAAGATTGCACGTGATATTTCAAAGTTTGCATTCTTCGCCAGCACGAGATTGAAGTTTAACATCTTCCGTGGAACTGGGTGGAAAGGGGAGGAACCTAGACAGACACTGGTTAAATTCAACCTTTGAGCTTCAACCACTAAAGGCAGGGCAGCAGGCAGTGTCATGCGGGGCATTTGCAGCCCAGGACATACGAGAACGTTCCAGGTTTCGAACAAGACAAGCTACCCTTACTATGACGTGCCCGATGTGAACATGACTGAAAGAATGAGGCCGATTGGGCCTCCACCATCCTTCTCACAGAACTCCACAAGTCCTGATAGTTCTGGAAGAGTCCCATTGCATGCACACATGTTAGACGTGATCCATGACACCGGAAATGGCACGCGGCGGTGTTGCTTTAGACTTTAGCTTTGGCCGTTGGCCAGTCCCTTGACCACTAGACATGCCAACTCTTGTGACGCTGTTCAAAACCTAACTTTCAACTGGCATGCAATGTAACACATTTTCCCACTGAATTATGTACTCAAAAGAGACCACCCTAGCTAGCTGATCCAGGCGAACGGAGCAGCCGACCTCCTGAGGAGCTGATTTGGGGGCAGAGGGCCCACCTGGATCTCTCAAGGAAAGAGCAATCGCATTGCGATACAAACGCGTTCCTAGGTTGAAATATGTACACAAAACGCTCTATGTATATACTTTTGCATATACATATATACAGACATGTGACACGTGTTTGGGAGATCAAGGTACAGATGTTTTAACACATGTTTTTCCGCTGTGAAGAGCGCAGCACAAATTTTGGTCCATGGAGTGTGATCAGATTATTGAACGTAGTAGGTCTTCTTGAATGTGCGTCGACCTGCTGTATTCTGTGACCTTGGGGTCCTCAAGGACCACTCAACTTGACCTGCCAATCCCTTCTTCATAAGTTGACAGCACTTCCAATTGCCCACATGAATAACATACCCAGCGACAGAGGCACCAAACTCAGACAAACATACAGGATTACACAGTGTACGAGTGTACGAATTTGTAAGGTGTACTCAGTGTACTCGGCTATTTTTTCACCATATAAAGCCACAAGAAGCAAGAAGTGTAGCCGTAACCCTGTAGGCGCTTGCAACTGTGAAGTTCATCAACTGCATTGCTGCGTGCATATGTGATCATGTGTGCATGTTGTTGACCAATTGTGGGTAATGAGACCCTTCAGAAACTGCAATCAGATTCCATGGTGTTTCCAAGTTCCCGTGGTCTCTCGGGCAGTGAGACCTGGAGAGACCTACAGCTTCGTTGAGGAGGGAAGCAAAGCGCTCCTTCCAAGCAACGAACGTGTCCTCAAAGGGCCGGGTCTTAAGGGAGTTTGTCCTTGAATGATTTCAGCCCCGTTTGACACGGGCCACTAGAGCACTGTATTTGCCTTTTGACTAATTCAGACATTGCTGGAGAAAAGCTGCGCAAAGCTTGCAGCCGGCGCTGCCGCTTTAGCTTCGGATAGTGCATGGTATCCTAGTTCTTCTGAGGCTTAAACAGGGCACGCGCCAGCTGTAGTAGATAAATCTTGAGCATGCATTGGACAGGAATTTGCCCGAGCGCAGGGGCACAAAATGGGTGCGAACGTCACTCTCCACGCAAGATTCTCGAGGGCTTTGGCATTTTTGGTGTGTGCTGCTTCAAGTGTGTGGTTCACAGCATCGCATGGCGAGACACTGTCATTTCGTGTGGCAAGGTCGTTGCCCAGGCACTGTTTGCTGCCGCTCCACCAGCACTGCCACAGCCGTTGAGGTGGAGACCGTAGGCGGGATGAAGAGTGAACAGGGCCAAGACCTGTTTGCGACGTCGTCCTGTTTGAGGTGAAGCACCTTAACCGAAACATATCGACGGGTGAGACGAGAGCCTAGCCGGTGAGACGCGCTGAGCTGGAAAACTGCCGCTTTTAGGCGGTTCTGTTTTCTGGAGCCAGGGCTTAGCTTGGCTTTTAGGGCATAGCTTAGGCTTAGGTCCATTTCTTGGCTGTTCTGAGCTCGAAATTCGCGGTTCAATTCCTTCGCGACGGCGACCCGCCAGGCTTAGTGAATGGACGCTTTCCGGGCCAGTTTGCCCCCACGCCGCGTCCAGACTTCCTAAAGCGCCGTTTGGAGGTGGGCAGTTAGCAATTCAGCTAGCGGCCGAAGCCGAATCTGGCTAGCCGATGTTTTAAGAGGCAAGTGCCGCTTGTTTGAGGCTGCTCTAGTGACTTAAACTGTTTGAAAGTTGCCAGGTTTGGGATCGTTTGTGGCAGAAGGCACAGGAGGAGCTGCAGAAGAAGCCAAAGCAGCCCATCAAGGTCAGTGCGTTGAAAGGGGTGGGATTGCAATAGAAATGCAATGTGTAGCCTCCTTGGCACCAATCCAGGAAGCAAATCAAGTATGGTTTAATGTAAGATGTGAGCGTTCGCTTAGGGTGAGCTTGCTATGCGTGGACCCTCACCATAATTCTGAGTTGCCTCCTCGTGTTTGTCTCCAATTACTTGTTAGGTGTATCCTGTATCCCTAATACCCGATTCGGAGGGTTACGGGACGGAAAACACGGCTGCCTTTTTTCGGCCCTGCGTTTCCTCTTCCCAGCCTTCCAGTGCCATGAAGTTGTAGTTGTTTTGTACCTTTGGAGTGTGCTTTGCTTTTGTTCCGTAGTGGTGCCTCAATATTATCGGGATATTACGCCGTGGCATATATCGGGAGGTTCGCCTCACAATTGGTCTTTATAAGAAAAGTGCTGTTTGTTGATACTTGTTATCGCTATGTTTCCGGCTCAAGACACTGCCTTTCGAAGCTAAGCGCGCCAGAAGCACAGTATGGCAGTTGAAGAGTGCAGGTTTCTTGCCAGCATTGACCTCCGGTATTTGCCATACTTCTGGAACAGAGAGAATGGCGAAAAGAGCCTCCTCATGGACTTGCTTCAAGAGAAGAAGTACAAGACTGCGCTGGAATTGGTGACCCGCGGGGAAATTTCTCCAAAAGAGACAATACCATACACAGGTACATCCCTCTTGAAGCTGTCCTTCAGAACCACGTTTGAATACCTACAGTTTTTTTGTCCCTTTTGTGCGCCCTAACCAAAGGCTCTTCATACTCCAAGCACTCGGCTGCTCACTGTTTAATGTGCCTGTTTGGCTGCGCGAAGGACAACCTGTACTGGAAGATGTTGCCATTCTTCTGGATGCAATGAAGCTTCGGGGTGAGAAAATCGATGACACCGATTTGGATGCAGCTTGCAATGCAGGATCCTTCTTGCTACTTGCTATCAAAAGGGCGCACTTGAATCACTCTACTTCCCCCTCCCACAGTAATTAAGCCACAAACAAATCACATCAATATATAATTTACCGTTTGCTTGAGAACATGCGGCACACTTGCCGATTTAATGCTGCAGGGTGGTTCAGAAGCTGCTCAATGCCGGTGCTATTCCTGGGCCTGATGCCCTGCATAGTTTGATGGAAAGGGCCGGTCAACGAAAGGAGAATGAGACACTCAAGATGCTTGGCAAATGCTATTGTGACTACAGTACGGCGCATTGAGTTGAATGAAGTTCAAACATGTAAAAACCGCTGGCTAAGCAATATTTGGAATCAGATTTCTTGTGTCAGTGTTTTCCAGTTGAGTCGCACATAATTTGACCTTGTTGCTCCAAGGATCTTGCATGTGCTACTGGAGGCCAAAGCTGAAATCGACGGCTTGGGCTCAAATCAACAGGTAACGCCTTTGGTCACTGCATGCCGAGGTCTCAACCTTCCCTGCGGAGTTTTGCAGGCTTTGCTCCATCTTCGTGCTGATGTCGGCGGCGCAGGGCACGAGCCACCTTTGCACGCTTACGTTGGCAAATGGGGCCGTGAGGATGGAATCCGGGTTTTGGCAGAGCACCGCGCCGACTTGAACCAAAAAGATCGGATTGGCCGGACAGCCTTGCATTGCGCTTTGAGTGGGCATTACCGGTTCAACTTGGCAATGCTTCTCAAGTCTCTGGGTGCCGACCCATTCATTGCAGATGCGAACGGGGTAAGACCCAGCCAACTTCTCATCAGATGCAACCAGCCGGAGAAGGCAGCAGAGTTGGAGGACCGTCGCATGAATCAAGAAGAGCTGAGGTTGAAGCAGGCCATGGAACACCCTCTAGCCAAGAAGTTCGAGAGCTCTCTGATACAGTCAGTGAGTTGGATCCTGCGCAATTCTCCCGAAGATGGCTTCGGCTGCATTAGCAACAACCAGTTGAAAGATGAATGCGATTATGGGGATTGCAAGCTCTCTGATTGCTTGGATGGTTGCTCCCCAAAAGCTGTCGTGCTGGAGCTGCCACTCACCAGATATTGTGAAATCCATGGTAATCTTCGGTTGACAGCGCCGCCTGAAGGCTTCACCGTGAAATTCTTGCTGATGGCAATTTACAAGTTTTATCAAGATCCTTTTGGCGATGCGGAGCTTTCAGAAATCCGTCAGCTTTTCGGTAAAGGCATTTTGGGGGACACCTTCGGCTACATTTCCAACAATGTTGGAGAGACAGAAGGACTGTTGTTGCCCTTTTGAAGATGAATTATATACTGTAAACGGTTGTTTGACTGTTGTTTGTTCAGGAAGTTGTTTGGTCACCCAGCAGCTTGAAGGTTCAAGGCCAAAGAAGCAGAAGGTTCAACGCATTGAATTGCGAGGGGATTGCATTTTCTTCGAAGGTTTCCACGAATGCAAGCTCCGTGACTGCAAATCCGCTGTTTTGGAGCATATTGTTAATGTTGATACTAGTCTTGGCCGACAGAACTTACGAGCTTCTACAGGCAGCCCAGAACCTGTTCAATACTATGGACAAACTCAAGAATCCTGTCAACCAGATGTTCTGGGACAAATTGCAAGGCTGTAAACCGTAAGCTTGACAGGCCTGACCACAAGGCTTTGTAAGCTTCAGACACATGTTGAGCTCAGGTTTTTTGAAGATGACCAGACCCTGTGGGGCAGGATGTCCCTGGGATCATAACTTGTGGCCTTCGATGTGAAGTAAACTACGCAATTCCGTGGCTGTGGTGCTGGTTCTGCAAGTGTCAACGGATTAGGAATGAGAGTAGGAAGCAAATTAAAAGTCAAACCACTAGTCACTAGCAGCTCCAAGACTAGGAGCAGGCTGCTTGTACAGTAGAACAGCAGTCGTAGTGGATGGCAACGTGTCAAAGTCACGGGCCGTGTGAAATACACTTGTCCCGGGCTTTGCGGGCTTTTGATGTGGGTTGAAGCGGCAAAATCTGGATCCCTCGAAGCTTTTCCCTGCAGATCCTTTCAGATCCCATCAGCGTGTCTTCGATCTCACCTTTCTCCTTTTTGGACTTGACGTGACCTCCAGTTGCACTGCCACCTTTCGAAGAGTGAACGGATACATAAATATATATAATTATATATACATACGCATTTGACAGTTACGTGCAATTCAGCTTGCAGGCCAAAGTCCAGCCAGTCGTCATTTACATTGATGAACTGAACATATCATAACATATCCATTACCCCCCACCATGCGCTCACCAATGTCAATCCATTTGGAACGCTGCTGCAGGTGACATTGCCCGATGGATCCGTGAGAGTTGGGAGCTCACGGCAGCATGAAACAGCTTTGCAACGCGTCCGGGAGTCGTTAAGAACGCGACTCAGGTTAGCGATGCACTTTGTTCCTAGTAGCTTCTTGTTACTAGTAGTAAGGCCAGGAGCTACTAGTAGCGTCCTAGCACAAGAGGTCACATAATGATTGGGACTGTTCCTTTTCCTTGTGACAGTGATTGCATTGTCACATATTGTCACCAAACACAGGAAGCAACGAGCTTCTTCACAACTCCACTGGAGATTGCAGAGGCGCCGCCACTCAGAGACAGGTCTCGTTGAAAGCTGTGCAGTTGAAAGTTGAAAGCATAACTTCCATGAACTTCCCATTAAGTCCACAGCATGGCAGACTGGAACTGAATTAATTGACAATCCCGGTCAATAGCTACTCAGAGCACTTGATTAGACTTAGTGGGTAGGTATGCTGCCTGTATATTTTTCGCGGGTGAAGTAGGACATTTTTGGGCACACTATTCAACAAAGGGCATATTCTCACTTCCCAGGGCATCTCAAAACGCTTGGCAGCTGACGCAGTGGTGGCATTGGTGGAGTATGATGAGCTGGGCACTCATACCACTCGCCTTTCTAGAAAGAGGAGACGATGTTATTCGTGAAAAAAGCACTTGTTGTCGGACTTGGTGACTTGGTGTCCCGACAACTGGCTCAATGGCATTCGGTTCCCCATGTGGTGTACCACGGCTGCTGTTTTAACGAGAAGTCTCAAGTCGGTTTTGCCTCGAAGCTAAGGCCTAGCGACAGCAGCTGCGCTCCTTGTGTTGCGGCTGCGACGTGCTCAGACAGAAACATCCGCTTGCTTGCTGTTTTTGCTCAGTTGTTTACCGCCGGCAGGGCTCAGCTGTTGATGAAACGCAACGATCAAAGAATATCCCACTGTCCCGGCTCTACAAGGCATGCGGCATGTAGGACTGTTGCTTCATGACTGAGGATGGGGAAGAAGATGATGAGGAGATTCGACGTCTTCGACTTGGTGCCGCGTGATGCCTGTGTTTGCGGAAGTGGGGTATGAACAGTTGCATCGAGATGTGAGATTTGGGCATGTGGATCTTGCAATGCAACTAGGAGCAAGGACGCTACTAGGGGCTCCTGGCCTGACTACTAGGAACAAGAAGCTACCAGGGCTCCTGGCATCGCTACTAGGAGCAAGCATGCTCATATTTCGAGGAGCCCGATGCACAAGGGCAACTCTGGGACCTCACCAGACCCTTGGAAGGCAAAGCTGCTCCCTCTCGTTCCTTGCAAACCGCATTTGTCTCGTTCTTGCGAGCCTCGCGAGCGCCTGAGAGCGTCGACATGGAATGATATACAGTATAACTGTTTTTCTTATTGTGTTTCAACAATTGAAGGTTGATCTCCTTGCATGGGTAGGTGACATGCGACACCGGAAGAAACATAGCAGGATACACTCAAGGTTCCAGCAGACATTTGCCACATACCTGTATTGACATGTACTGACTCAGCTTGTGGAATCTGCGGGCGAGTTCCATCAGGCAATTGCAAGCTCGAGCTCATTAAGCGGCAATCTTAGAGAGGCTGCAGACACGGTGCAGCAGCGACTTACAACTATAACTAGCGGAGCCCTGTTTGGAAATGTGGTTTGGCGGATCAGGAATGCCGAAGGATGTAGGCACAACATGACAATACAGTTTGTTTTTCGACGAGGTTTGATGATGCTCGTGGCCAAGACACCTTTTGGCACTCTTCATCCCACGTCGGGCACCAAAAAGAACTCGTAGAAGAGGAGAGGTTCGAGTCCCAATCACCTAAACAGCATTCAACAGCACACTTTTATACACTTTTGCATTTTCTGGTTGTAGATCCTGAGGTGCCATAAATGCCCTAAACACCGGGATATGCTCGCTCCCTTTCAACTGGCTGTGATGGTGTGAATAAACCCCCACGACCGCAAGCTGAGGTGTTGGGAGCAGCTTTGGAAGATGCATTTGGTGGACACTTGACCATTGGGCCACAAGCTACAGACGGTTGAAAGAATTGGGATGAATTGGGTATAATTATGACATGGAATGACACTGTGCCAGGATAGACTGATTTAATCTGGTTGAGAATTTCCTATGGTTGAGCACAGCCGAGCACAGCCCAGAAGTTTAGGATGGTCAACGATCTCTCACGACACGGCAAGTTTGTTGGGGTTGCGTTGACATGTTTTGACCATTTTTGACTCCATCTTTCGGGAGCTTGGTATGAGGCCAGCAGTGGAAGGCGGCTTCTACTACGACATGTACTTAGGCGGGCTGTTGACCTCAAAAATGCATGTGGTTTGCCGAGTAGTCTATCAGTCTATCACCTTGATGTGTGTTTCTTCGCTCCAGGTGAGCAGCGTCTCTCTGACTCTAACTTTGAGGAGAGAGCTCTTTATTACGAAGACACCGTTTGGTCGGATATGGTACGCATCCACAGTGCAAAGCTTCAATCCATTGCACCTGAAAGCCGGCGGGACATGTTGCTCCGAAGGAGATTGAGAAAACCGTGGCAGAATTGCGCCAAAGCACGGTTCCTGATGTAGAGTAGTGAGTGCCTGCTTCATCTTTGGAATGCACATGTATCTTGAGCCTGTTGAGATTTTGCTCCATTTGAGGCAAAGCGCCCTTTCAGCGCATGGTCATTTCCAGTCGGGGTGTCAGAGACACATGCTGTACTGGCTCTTTTGTGAATAGTCGTTTTTGTTTACTTTGGGGTATGAGCTCATGCTCTGAATAGATCTTCCAGGAGTCTGGGAATTGAAAGGTCATGATAAAAGACGGGATCACTGCTTACAAGCAGTAGCTATTTGCTAGTCGCAAGGACGCTACTAGGTGGAGGCCATCGCTACTGGGAATAAGGCCATCCCTACTATTAGCAAGAAGCTAGTAGTAGCTATTTGCTACTAGTAGCAAGGACGTTACTAGGTGGAGGCCATCGCTACTAGGGTGGAGGGCATTTCGACTAGTAGCAAGAGGCTAGTAGTAGCTATTGGCTACTAGTAGCAAGCATGAACCGTGCTGAAAGGCAGTAGAAGTTGTGCAAATGGTTTGTCGGCTCGTAAAGTTGCGGCACCTAAAGCGGACAGCCTGTTCCTTTCGCCTCAGGAGAAGAAGCCTTAGAGCTCTTTGCCAACAACCCTTTCAAAGTCGACCTGATTGAAAGAAAGGCGAACAACGCTTGGCTTGCACAAAGCATGACCAAGCAGCTTAAGCGAAGCATACCCCAAAGCATACCCTCTGACTCTGACCCTCTGAAATCTGCACGAAGCATACGTCCGAAGCATACCCATAGTCAAACATCCCTGCCCGGAAACATTGAAAAAATACACACCCATGTCACCTGATGCACAGATGTCCATTCTTGTGTGTGGCAACCATGGCTTGTGGGATTTCCACATGTCTCTGAACGCCACAGTTTCTGCAAGGTGACCCCAGGTACTATGACAACAGCGTATCGATGTGGCGATTTGGTGGATCTTTGCCGTGGGTGCTTTTCTCGGATAGCCCAAAGGGGCCAATTCAGCTATCAAGTCGGAATACGATGATTGCAAGCATAACTTGAAAGATGACGGAATACGTGGTTACTGGTTACTGCAAACACTTTCTTCTCGAAGAGTTGATTAGGGCTAGCTAGCCGCATGACTCGATCAAGATCATGTATTGATGGGAATGGTGAGATAGTTTCCCGACCAAGTCATGACCTACATGCAGAAAACTGAATTTGGCGCTTAGCTAAACTGTGCGCCCTGCCCAACCTTTTCCCCACAAGCCTCCAGTTCAGTGAAAGGGTCGAGCTAGGGCAAGCTCAGTGGTAAAGAGCTTCAGCGAAGGCCCGAGCAATTTCAGTCCTTGACGATTCCGTGGGCTCAGGCCACACTTGCCTTCTACTGATCGAGTGAAGGCCTTTAAGGCTGGCAGGGGAAAGCAAAAACGCAAAGGGCTTTGGTAGTATTGTTTTCTTTACTTGCTTGTCCTGAGGTTGGTTCACAAGTGGGACTTACTGCGGCTAAAGCACCGAAGGTTCAACCCTTTGCAGGGCATCTAACTTTATTGGTGTGTTATCATGGAATCGCAGGTTGCCATTTGCGTTAAGGTCCGGGCAACGGTTTTTTGTGTATGATCCAAGCGTTGCAGGGCGGGAGAGACGGTGCGCCAGGTAACGAAGAATTCTTCTGCTTATTGGTTGGCATCTGCAGACAATGACTCCTTGCTGGGCTCTGCAGACTCGAAGTGTATCTGAATCTTGTGTTTGCAATAACAAGAAGCCATTAGTAACAAGTGCCACGCTACTAGTAACAAGTGCATCGCTTCTAGTAACAAGTGCCTTACTAGTAGTAACAAGAAGCTATTAGTAACAATCCTGGGCTCTGCAGACTCAAAGGCGGCAAGGCGTTGATGTTTGAGTTCCGACCGACGAAGTGCATCTTGGATTCCAGCCTTGCGATGCCTTGCGTTCCAAGGCAGCGGATCTATGGTGTATCGTTCCCATCAGAGAAGCTGTTGAAGGCAGAAATGACAGGAAAACCAACAACTGCGGAGACTTGAGTTTTGAAAGTATTTTGTTTGTCAGGTGCTCGGGAATCATTCAGTGTTTAGCAATTGTTTAAGGAAAAGTCAGCTGTTGCATTACTTTTGGGAAGTGTTGCGATCAGACATGCTAGCGTTGTTAGATGTGTCGAAGGCCTATATATAGTCGATAGTCAGTATGTTGAGTCATGAACATTAGGCGGACCCATGCAGCGTACATCAGGCACACCTCAGGAGACTAGAAGAGGCTAAGGAGCGTGATCACCGACGGGCCGGGACACCCAGCTTGTGCAACCGAGGCAGAGCATGACGGAGCAAATTTGAGATTGGGGATCCTCTCCATTTTGCACGCTTGCATCTGCGTGAGGTAGGGAAGCAGCAAGGGTTGGGCACTCAGAATTCACCTGTTCCTATCCACGGGGGCGCAGCAATATGCTGTGGAACGCCTCGGACTTTTGCACCATCGAGGCTCTTTTTCTTTGATGCTGTGGTCTCGTTCAGAGCCTGGAGATGTCAAAATCACAGCACCCTACAGGTAACCCTACAAAGAAGAAAAAGATATATGATGATATATGGTTCTATGATACATGAAGAGAAAGGCCCTTCAACAAGGCTCATTTAAAGATCTTTGAACTTTCTGTGGGCACAAGGCCAGGATCCTGCTTTTGGACCAGCTATGGGTCGAGCGCCTGGACGGTGAGAGAAAGTGACCTCACGCAATGACACAGATGAGCACGCAGCGTCAAACGCAAGTCGAAGTTCTCTCCTTAAACTTCAAGAGTTTGCCTTCAATTCTTGTGATATCTTCATTGATGTTTCCTTGACTTTTTCCCTAGGGCACGGATCTACAACAGACTTCAGGAACTGATGCGTGCAGAGCTTCAGCCTCAGAGCCCAAAGCAAGAGCGAGTCCAGAGTGGTGGGACCAAGGTATCGGGCTCGTGGTTTCGAAGAAGTGATCACACCCAACATTTTCTCAGCCGAACTCTTCAAACGCCAGAAGCCTTAGAAGAGTTAAATAGACTTTTAGATGGTATATGATGGTATGAATAAACCAATGGCACATCTAAAAGACCATTATATATTCTTGGCGCGCATATGTTAAATGTTGCAAGACTTACCTGTTCACCGCATTTTGTAGCGTGACTACTAATCATCAATCTGCGAAAGGCTACACTGCCGTCAGACTTGTTTGCCACTTTTTACTGTGGAAGAGCCGCCTGATCTCATTCTCAAGCAGGTTCTGGGCACTACCAGAACTATCGCCTTGTGCTTAGCGCACTGCTTCGCAGCGTGTCTTCACAACATGTTTTGACCGAGGTGAAGACATGTACGGCTTTGAAGTAGAGGGTCAAGAGTGGCCGCTTCCTTGGACACTTAGGAGCAAGGACGCTACTAGTAGCTCCCACTACTACTAAGAACAAGAAGCTACCAGTAGCTCCTAGCATTACTACTAGTATTCATTTCCAGGTACTTGAAGCCCATGAACTGCCCAGGGCAGCATCCTTAAATTTGGGATCGATCACGTCGGCCAGGATGAAGTTCTCATAACGATAATGGTTAGTTATCTTTGTTTCTATCCAATTTGTTTTTGATCATTTGCGGCAGCTTCATTATCGTTGCTCCCTTCCTCACTAGGCACTGCGTGCTTTTCGACAGCAGGCCGGGAATGGTGAGGCTCCGTTTAGTTTTCCAGCGGGATGGATATTTGGCGGCTGGCACAGTGCTGCCTTGGCTGCCTTCAAAAATGAATCTCCTTTTTGGACGTTTACGAAATTTGATTGTTTTGTTTCTCCATGTTGCTACACGATTTATGCCGAAGTGACTTTAGTTGTGATGTTGGAACTGTTTCTGCTTGCCTTGAGCTGGAACTGTTTCTGCTGGTTGGTCATAGCCCTGGATGCGACGGCCGGAAGATGTCAGCTGGCTTGAGCGTGGTCACTAGAGAGTAGACTACTAGACTCGACTACACTGTGCGCCGTCAACCAATGTGACCACCCCAACCACCACACAGTCCACACATGTCCACACATGATTGTGGAAGCCGTTGGCAGCTCCGGGACTTAACCAACATTGCTGGCTGCCAACATTGCTGGCTGCCACTTCTAATATAGATTGCCTGTTAACCCAGAACTTCAGGCAGACAAGCTGCTATGAGAATGCGATGGCGCAAGCCATGTCAATAAGCCTCGCTTTGCTGAGTGGCAAAAGCTGTTCGGTTGAGCTCGAGCCGGGACTCTCCATTCAAGAGCTGCGAGAAATTGCACAACAACGCCTCAACGCTCGGATGCTGGGCCTGATCACAGCAAAGATTTGTGCATGGTCAAGAGCAGAAATGCAATGCGGCATTGGAATCTGATCAAAACACGATTCTTCAAAATGACTGCGCATGACAGCACCAGCTAGTATTCCAATAGCAAGATTGATTAAAGTCCACCATGAGCGTGTTCCAGCTCAGGATCAGCCAACTGATCACTGCAGATGGCAGGGTCTTGAAAGAGGAGAGTAGCTGCATTTGCAGTTTGCAGAGACCTTTTTCATATTTTTTCACTTGTCCACTTGTCCACCAATCAGATGCCGTTTGTCACGCGCTGCCACAAGCTGTCAACTGAGGCTACGTTGGCGACTCAAAGATTGAAAGCGGTGATGTCGTGACTGCAATCCTGCGACAGGCAGCCATCGTGTCCAACGGCTCTTGCTCCTTGAACTCAGACTCATAGGTCATTTGCTTCAAACAGCAGCAACGAGCTTTCAATTTTGGAGGCGTCAAGCTTACAGGCACCTGAAATACCGCCACTTTCTGCTAGGTGTTTTGGTGCCGGTTTTGATCCTTTCTGGAGCTTATAAGGCACCGACCCTCTCACTTGTAAGCAAGTGCGAGGTTTGTGATGTGATTCTTGCTGGGTCCATCCCAAGGCAACTGGAGATCGGCTACCGTTGTGAGACACACTGATGGTTCAGTCACTGCATGGGGCAATTTTGCCTGCGGTGGTGACATCATTGGTCTTTCGACTGAACCTTGCATCACTGTTTTCGGTTGGCTTTGCTTGATTGGGTGTCCTATGGTGTTATGATGTAATATATTGTATTTTGTATTATAAAGACTTGTTTCTATGAACTTCAACCATTGTGCCAAACTCTTTGAGGAACCTTGGATCATTTTGGATCCGCTCTTCCTGTTCATATGGCGTCGGTTCCTGAGGTGTCCAAGACCAGCTGCACGACGTCCAACGGGTTGTTGCGACCTATGCGGCCTTTGCTGCGTTGCGTGGAGATGGCAGCACCGTCGCTTGGGGCGAAGCGGAATCTGGTGGGGACAGCAGCGAGGTACAGGAGCGCTGCGACACCTCGAAACAGGATCGTAATCCTATGGGATACACTACGTGAAGCTGCCCAGCTAAGCAGCAGGATGCAACAGAAAATTTCAATATGCTGCATTGTGCATTATGACTTGTCAAAGCGTGTGATGTTGAAGAGGTTTATGTTTATATAGTAGGGTCCAGTCGCAGCACCCAAGAGAATGCATGAGACCCATCTTGCAATCATGACTTGACAAAGAGTGAATCCGTCAGAAAGCTTGCGTCAAACGCTGTTCTTCAAGATTTTCCACAACAGACTGGCTGGGCATCTGGAAGCACAAGATCAAAAGTTGATGAAAGTTGAAGCCCGGCTATCCATGACTTAATATGACTTCTTAATCCTGCTTAGCTGAGTGCAGGGGCCTAGGTTCGAGGCTTTGGGAATATGTTGAGCATGGCTGGGCACGAAGTGCGTGATGTGTGAAGGAGCAGCTGGTTGATGTATCAAGCATACGAGCCTCTGGCTACGCCTTTGCTGCCTTGCGCCGCGACGGCAAAGTTGTGACTTGGGGCGCTCCTGACTACGGAGGCCTTTGCTCAATCACATCAGAACCTCTCAGAACGAAAAACCAAGCTTGAGAGAACTTACCATGGTTCCACAAGGGGCGCAGATCATCAAGACCTTGTGTCAGGTGACAGCAGCAATGTGCAAAGCCAGTTGGCGAAGGTTACTGAGATCCATGCCACACATGGTGCTTTCGCTGCAAAATGCGATGATGGGCGTGTCGTTGTTTGGGGCAAAGCCAACTATGGCGGCGACTCCAGTGCTGTGGCCAACCAGCTGACTCATGTTCAGAGGACACTTGGCTGCATGCATTTGGCTGCGCTTCCACAAGATGTTCGATAGTCGATGATAGTCGACAGTTTGTCGAAATACTTCCGGAGCCGAAATTGCGGCAAAATGCTGCACCCGTTCAAAGGAGGCAGCCTTAAAGGACAAGCTCACATGATGCAAACTTCAGGTTCACAGAACATGTAAAACCACATTAGGAGTAGTGGTATTTCAAGGTCGCCAGAGCTCCCACTTGTATTACGCTGTGATGCTTTTTGACGTTGCTGATTGCCATCAACTCTTCCCTTGCAAAGGGTCCAAGGTTCATGTGTTTGGCTCGATTGCCAAACAAATTCAAAGGAAGATATATATATATATATTTGGGTCTTGCAAGTACATACAAATGCCATCAAATGCCAATGCTTCTTGAAGAGATCAGGGTCAAAAAGCAATAAAGCCGGAGATTAGTGCTGCGTGTATGAAGAGATGTCAAGAAAAAGAGGTCAAGACAGAGGCAGGCAAAGAGCAGGTACAACATTGTACAACACCTTGCAAACACCAAGGATTTGTGCTGGTTTCTTTGCATTGACCGCTGTACGGGAAGACGGCCAGGTGCGACCAGAGTTAATGATGCCGAAGCCTTGTTCCATGTGCGTTGTGACTTGCGTTTGTTTTGCAAGTTGTTGCACAAATCAGCCGCGCACAGTTATGCCGGCATCGTGCTCATAGTTTCTTGCCAATCGTATCCCAGTTGAGCAACTCGCGTGAGTCCCATGCTGCCAACAGCTTGAGGGACGGCCCCTCCTTTTTTCCTTCGGATCCCATTTAATGTAGCAGGTGATCACTTGGGGCAACGCAGACATGGAAGCAAATTGTCCCAGAGTTCAGAAGCTCGGTCATGATGTGGTCGATATCCAAGCATCTCATGCCGCCTTTTGTGCACTTCTGGCAGACGGTGGCTTGAATCAATAAAGCCCCTGGCCCGCTGGGCACATCCGTTGCGCCAAACGGTGGTTGTTGGCGGGGTTCCAGGCAAACTCTTTCGCAGTTGGTTTCAAGCCATGTGTGCAACATTCAAGGCGCGTGGTATTTATATTTGCCTTTGTTGTGCACTGAGGTCGAGCTGTTACCTGGGGAGATGAAAAATATGGTGGCAACTGCAACTTGGCCGGAGGAGAGTTGACAGTGGTGGGTACGGTGTGGAGCCAGCCAGATATTTATATAAAAGAAAACGGCCTTGGAATAGAGATGTTCTTTGTGGAGATGGTGACGCCCTATCAAATTTGTTGGCATATATATATATATGTATACCAATACATAAATAAATAAATGAATATATATATATATCGTTTCAGTCACGCCCCCTAAATATTGAAGGATTTTGCTTTGATCGTTTGCCTCCTTGATTCATACACCAGGCCCACTGGCGCTGACAGACTTACGGAGCATCACTGCAAATGCCTATGCCTTTGCGGCTGTGACGAAAGCCGGACGCGTGTCACTTGGTTTTTTGAGCAATTAGAAGCACGACGAAAGGTTTTCAGAACCAGAGTCCACCCAGAAAAACCTAATTCACGTCACATTAGTTCACTATTTCTGCTCATTTGTCATTTCCCGCACTTGTTTGCCGGATCGTCTCGGTCCCTTTGCTCAGGATCGCTTGGGGCAACCCATTCTGTGGTGGTGACAGCAGCCTTGTGGCAGAAGAACTGTACGATGTGGTTGAGATTCAAGCGGCACACTATGCCTTCGCAGCGCTTTTGGCTGATGGAGGCATTTATAGTTTTGAGAGAAACACTGTGATTACTCTTAGTTGAATTCCTTTATATGCGCGCAGTACCTTATCTGAAGGAAAGGAAGGAAGGAAGGAAGGTTGGCATGCACCGAATGACAGGGGAACAAAGGCCGAAGCACTTTTGGGTCCTTTTGGTCACACTTTGGTCACTTTTTGTTGCCCAATGCTTACGCATTCACAGTGCCACAGGTGTGGTAGCATGGGGCGACGTGGAGGCTGGAGGCAGCTGTGGAGACGTGGAGCTGCGAGACATTCAGGAGTGGCGGCGTGTGATTTGCTTCGAGTCGAATTCCTGCCAATCGTATCCGGTTTTTGAGTTTAATTTGTGTCCTTTGCTTCCTTCGTTTTTGCCATCGCATTTTCGTTTTTAAAGACATGTTGTTCTCCCCTTTTCGCAGTTCTGCCGCTGCCTTTCGCTCCAAGGAGCTGTGTGCATCAGCGCAGGCGTTTTGTGCTTTAAGCTCTGACGGCTTTGTCATTACTTGGGGACGTAGGGATTTTGGTGGAGACAGCGCCTGGGCAAAGACTTCACATGTTGCTTGATTGAGTTTGGGATGACTTCAGACTTGGTGGTTGGCCAGAATTGAGCAGTCACGTGTTGCTCGACTTGCTTTTTCCGTTTTGCACAAGGTAGCAGTGTGCAGGAGCACCTCCAGGACGCGAAACTATTTGAGAGATTGAGCACCTACGGTTAATGGATCAAAGACACCTTCACTGGCATACTGTTTGTTGAATGTCAGAGTTCGCCGTGTTGCCGTCATCACGGCAAAAGTCGCCACAAAGTTGATGCCAAAGTCCCCAAGGACATCTCGCACATCAGCTCATCAGAGAACGACCTTCAGCAGCACTAGGACTGTAGGACCCTGGATGCCACCTATTTACCGCATGTGTGTGTGTGGGGGTTTATATATCTGTGTATTTTTGTCTGTGTGAGTCAGGTTTTCCCCTTCAAAACAGCATTTTTCAGGGTTTCTTGCGTTGCAGTTGCTTGCATTAGTTAATCATCAAGCTATACACTCTGACTCACTAACATGGAGGTGGAAAATGGTCCCTTGAACTTGAAAGACTAAGCAGGAGGTTTTCCACTTCCATGTTAGTGCCAGTTCTTTTGCAGCTGCTCAGGCCGTCATCTACATGTATCAACCTCTACCTCACCCATTTACTTGTAAATCTATCCATGTTTATTACTTTTCCGACTCTCGAAACATGGATCAAGAGTCAAAACGGAACCTGGAACATGAAGGCCCAGGCCTTTTGCGCAAGAGGCACATGGTGTTATGTGCAAAGGATCTGTTCATTAGACAGTACTCGGGATATTGAACAACCAACTCAGTGCAAGCAGGAAGCTATATAAGAGACCCAAACACTTCATTTTCTGAGACGAATGTGCATGCTGATTTGTCGCAGTCGCAGTGATGAGTTTAAGTTGGTTCCATTTGGACACGAGCCGTGCCACAGACTCAGTAATGATGGGATGTAAATGGATGTAATAGGATGTGTGCTGTATGTGCATTTGTGTGTACCGATGTAATTACTCTATGTGAATGCATTTGTGCATTGCATTGGTGGGTGCTTTATAATTGCGTGCATATAGACAAACATCCCGCCGGGTGTGGAATCGCACGTGTAGTCGTGCAAATTTTGATTCAAAAGTGCAAACCCTCTCAGTACTTTTGCTTGTTCGATGATGTTTTTTGGGGGTCCCGGATCCTTTCATTTTTAAAGCCGAATCTGCCGAAACCCAAGTGCCAGCGCAAAATCCGTCGCCGTTTTTGCCCCGGCTGTCCTCAATAACTTTCATGCGTCCTGTCTCAAGTAGACTTGCGCAGTTTTTTTTGCACAAGTTAGTGCACGTGGTGTTTTCCCAACGCCACTGCCATCCGCGAATCACACGACTAATCGATGACAATGTTATGAAACCGATGACAATGCTATGAAACCGAAGATTACTTGTCGTGAAATCGATGACAATGTTCTCAGCATGACATCCACATCCTCATTCCATCACAACCCCCCCACCCCCCCACCCCATTTTAATCACACGACTAGTCGATGACAAAGTTATGAAACCGATGACAATGCTATGAAACCGAAGATTACTTGTCGTGAAATCGATGACAATGTTCTCATCCCACCCACCCCAACCCCCCCACCTTTCACGTAGCATCAACTTCAAAAATCGCAGTAGTCACACGTTCGGTTTTACACCCGTAGGCACAAACATGTTCTCGCCGGTCCCCGCAACCGAGGATCCATAAAGAACAGATTACTAGCATCCTGCGAGAGTGACAGTGACAGAGTCGGGCAGACTTGCCATATCATATAAGTATGCAGTGGTGGTTCAGTGTATGTTGTGGTCCAATATTTTTTGGCATCAACTGATTGAGTTTGTCAGCTCAACCTGCTGTTGTATTTGATGTTGGGCTGTTGTATTCACTTCGTGGGGGACCTGTTGCAGAGCATGGGTTGTGTCGATTGAGGCCTTTATGGCAATCAAGTCCGACGGGAGCGTTATCACGTGGGGTGGCGAAGAAATGAGCCGCACTCCTTGGGCGGGCAATGAAGATGGCTTTCTAGGAAGCTCCAATGATGAGTTCTTCGATGAGGACTGGACAAACGATCTCAAAAAGTTGTGCATCCTGAATATGGGTGTCCTCCGCTAGCCAAACAAGTCAGGATTTTTGAATGTATAAAATTCACAGCGGAAAGAATGTAGATGCTAAGAAGCTTTGGATTTGCAGGACTCTTCAACGTCATTCAGCGACGAATCATAGAAGGCCCCTTGATTCTGCACAGCTTTCTATCCACCCACCTTTTGGAGATGCGTGCAGCTCCTCAAGTCGCTTTGATCAGTAAAGTTCTCTTACGAAGGCAGTAAAGTTCTCTTGCGAATTGCAGCATGTACAAAGATACTGCAGCATGTACAAAGTTTATTGAGGGTTCACACCTTTGCACAGTTGATGAGCCAAAAGCTCAGCATGAAAAAGTATCCAGGCGGAAATGCTGAGTTGTCTCGACCCCTGGTGCTGTAATGTGTGTCTCACTTGTGAGAAACAAATCCAACATACTTTGTCGCGGGCATGAAACATCATGAAACCTTATGCTTCCATCGGCAGTCTATTCAAACTGGTGGACACAGCCACTCAGCTGGAGTTTTGGGTGTTGAATCCGGGAATTGCACTTGCTCGCAAATGGTAGAAGAATGGCATTCAGTAAGGTTTCCTGGTCCTAGATAAGTTCAAAAACAGTTTTACAAGGAGAAGTTTTCTGAAGGGCAAAAAGTGCACTGGAGTACAGCCGTCCACAGGCCTCGCTCATATAGAGAATTGCCCATCAGGACGAGGGAGCATATGAACGAGACAAATGACTGTAAGCAAGTTTCCTGTTTAGATTGATGTCAGAAATTGACAGAATGTTTATATAGTTTGCGTTTGCACGCGCGACGCAGGATGGCAGATTTTGGAGTGTTGCATCGAAACGAGCTCAGTGGAACCCTCTCTGGACTGACTCGAGTGCCCTGTCCTCAGTGAAAAGAAACGTTGCAATTGGTGGACGGGCGGCGCGTCCATCCTTCAGGCGGCGCTTCCAGCAGGATGACGCCCACATCTTCTGCAGGGAAGACCAGATCAAGAGCGAGGTGCAAATTTCAAGGGAGCAGGATCTAATGTTTGGCAGGCTGCAGGATCTAAGCCCCTTCAATTTGATCATTTCAGGTCACTGCGGCTTTAGCCTTTGTGTTCAACATCTATGAGCTGTTTGGTTTCGAGTTCTCTTTAGCGCCCGAGACCTTGGAGTTGGAAGCGCAGGACAAGTGGAAGGTGTGTGTGTGTGTGTGTCAACGGTAGTTATAGTATTACGATATATTATATATGATATATGTGCAATTTGTTTTCGTTGTATGAGAGTGCGAGCCTCCACATGCCCATGGATCCTGATGTTTTGATCACAGCAGCCTGTGGAGCAAGGTTGAGCACAAGACCTAAGAAGGCCATGGGAAGTGTTGAGTTCAGATCTCAGTCCAAACAACATGCAATGCGGCGTGTATACTGAAAGCTATTAGGTTGGAGGCCATCAGGGTCTTCGTGTAGCGTTCCCTTTGCCAGCCACTAAAGTGTTTAGCCCGAGAGAGAGAGAGAGAGAGAAAAAAAAAGAGAGAGATAGAGCATGTAGCAGCAGCTCATAGTCATAGTCCCACATTTCGCTGTTGTCAAGGAATACTCCAACCTAGTGTTATTGCCAATTGTTCATGCTTTCTCTATGCGGCCGTGCCAATGAAATCGAAAGACATCCACAGAGTAGGAAGCCTAGATTGTATAACCATGGCTTGGCTAAAGACCACGGCCCAGAGTCACGGATCCAGTCCCAGACCACTCACAGCCTCACAAGCGAAAGCAAATAGTTATTACTTCCAACACGTTGGAACTTCCAAAGCAGCTTCGATGATTGGCCCAACGCAAAAATGCACAATTTGCGTGCCATTGTTCATCAACGAGCAACATGGCAAGGGTCACACTTTTCAAGGCCTGTGTTGATGCAGTTCACACCACTTTGCCACACAAACAGGTCGCAACAGCAAAGGATCAAAGGCTAGGGTGTTTTTCTATATTTTTTGCTGCTATTAGCACATGGCATCATCATTGCAACATGACCGAATGTGCCCTGGCTCAGAACCTGCAGCCTGCAGAGTAGTTAGAGGACGAAACAAGGTCGAAGAACTCAACATGTGGCAACATGTGGAACCAGGTTGAGGCCCTTGTTGCACCGTTCCCACCGCATTGAGAGTTCCAAGCGAGCATCGGGGTTCGCACCTGCGCAATCAAGAATCAGAAAACTTATGAGCATAGCACAAGAGTTGAAGCGAATGCCATGCACCAAGCCGTGGTATTTCCCAAGCGCAGCTGGCCATTGAGAGCCTTGAGCGAGCAACAGCTCCGTGGCTTCACACGTGTTTGCGGCTACGCACGACGTACCACTCGCTGTGTCATTTTGCCGTGTTGTGACATGTTGTGGGCATCAATGGCTGTTCAGTTTGTAAGCTATTGCGGAGCAAGGCGTGACCAGGAAAGTTTTGTCAGTTGTGTGCACGTTCGCTGTTCAACACAGCTGTGGAAAGGAGAAGGATGTTGCGAAAGTGGAATCCACAACCTGGCGAGTCGGAACCTTCAAATTCCTCGAATGGGTTGACCAGATTTTCTTTCTGGATGAGGGAAGAAGCACAATGGTGCATAGGGATGCATAGGGAGTCTGAACACAACCCTGGGATATCCTAATGCTGTATTTGTCAAACCCAACTTTGATGCTGTTTGGGCAGTCGCAGTGGGTTGGTTGTCATCCATGGTTATCCCTGAAGCGAAACGATGCTGTTTCTGCTTGTGAGGTACAGCTTCTGGGAGAGAAGCGGCTACATGGTGGTGCCTGATGCTACCATTCGCTTCAGATTCAGTTTTCCCATTGTTTTTTGGGCCTGAAGGGTAGGAAGATGATGAGCATGCAGCATGCACATACAGTGTTTGAAGTGTCGACAGATATTATATTATAATATATAGGTGGTAATGAGCATTCTGTAGCAGTGTCCCACGAGATGCCCATCTATCACAGCTCAGGATGTCATCTCCAAAGACCTTTGCTCTAAGACGGCAGATGCCATTTATGCCTTCGTTCAGGCTGATCGCGACAAGCGGGACACATGGCAACTTGGCTGGTTGCTGCTTACGTTTGGCTTCGTATGCGCTTGCATTTGCTGTGTTGATCTCACCAGTGTGGGTACTTGGTTTTGGGGGTTGTGTATGTTTGACCATGATTTGCATGTGGTTTAGGTACAGAAACAAGCTGGATATCTACAGTGACGTCCTGCCTGATGGCAAGAAGCCTCACCACGGCCCATGTGGTGGTTCGTCGGCACAATTTAAGTGTACTGTAAAACCTTCCACATCTTCCACATGCGGCAAGACTTTGAGTAAGCGTTATTGAGCGCATTCCATTTCAGCAGGCATCAATGTCAGCTGCAGTACCTGAAGGCACATCAACTGATTTGACAGCTTCCAATTCCAACTGGACTCAGGAATGGTGCAAATGTCTCACCACAAGACGCTGTGGGCCATTCGCCAGGATAGCACTTCGATGACCATCCGTTTGGTCCAGACTATCGATTGATACTTGCCGGGGCTCTGCAAAAGTTGTTCAACGGTGTGAGGCATTCACCCTTTTTGTCATGCACAAGCCAAGTCCTTGTAGTCTTCCTTGTCGTTCCTTGCAGATAGTGACACCCCAAGTTGCGAACAGTTGTGCACAATGGGCGCTTTATTTCTGTTTGGTGTGGATATATAGCCCAATGCAGATGTCAAACGTGCAAACTGGGATTTGTGTTATTTGTTTTGGTGTCCTTTATCCAATGCAAACTGTACATGATGCAATGAACGGATCTTCACCGTTTTTTTTTTCGCAGGAGCCCTTGGTCCATGCAATCTTTGCGGACCTGTATGGCACGGAAGCCTTGTGGGTAACAACTGATCGATGCATGGCTTAGCGAGGGTCCAAACTGGAAGCCTTTGCTTGTGTCTTAGTGCATTGTCGCGCATCTTTTGTGCGTTGTGTTGCGCGAAATACCACACCTTGAGTCACTTGAGATTCACCTGAGGAGCCCATTTCAAGGCACCTGAAGATCCCAAGTACCCTGAATGGTCAGATCCTGGGGAGGCATCCAGTCGGTCGGTTGAGATGAGAGAAATGTGAAATCCGCGACCTTGTGGAACAAGAGGATGCAACGAACGGAGCAAAGGGCATTGCTACTGGGAGCAAGGACGCTACTAGGGACTCCTGGCCTTTTTACTAGGAACACGAGGACGCTACGAACAGAGCAAAGGGCATCGCTACTGGGAGCAAGGACGCTACTAGGGGCTCGTGGCCTTGGCACTAGGAACAAGAGGACGCTACTAGTAGCAAAGGGTATCGCTGCTAGGAGCAAGGACGCTCAGGGGCTCCTGGCCTTACTACTAGGAACAAGAGGATGCTACTAGTAGCTATTTGCTAGTAGTAAGGCCAGAAGCTACGTTCGTCTCGTCCTTGCTCCTCGTAGCGATGCCCTTTGTTACTAGTAGCTTCGGTTTTTAGATTTTGGAAGCCAATTCAGGTTCACAAGAATCTGCACTGGGACATTGAGACTGCAGAGGAGCATTGGCCTGTCCCATTTGCCATCCAAGGCATTGTGTACCTGGAGGTGGGGCCATAATTCATGCCCACAAGCAATAGCATCAGCCTGCGCTTCAGAATCGCTGAGCTCCTGAGCAATGCTTGGGCAGGACACTCCTCCAGAACTGGGAGCTTTGCGCGTGGTGCCAGGTGCCTGTCCGTGCTTGTGCATCGACTGGGGTACGTCACATCCTAACTATCCATGATCGTCCCAACTCATGTCATAGATGGCATACTGTATAGCTAGCTATACAATGCTAAATTTGACATAATATATATATATATCTATATATATATATATATTTGTTTATTTATTTATATATTATTGTAGCCGTATTTACTGTGCACGGCTGCTAAGTCAAGGCTTCCAGCATCGCCTGCGTGATTGGTCTCCGCACTTTGGCCCTCGGAGCGGCCGGGAATGCCCATTGGAACTTATTGAGGAGGCTGTTCATGTGCCAGCAACCCAACAGCAAGACAGCAAGCTACGGCAAAAGGTCAAGACGAAGGTTTTATTCTTGGTTTTGCAGCCCCAGGGCACAGCTGGATCCTTGGTCGTTTGGCTTTCCGTGCTTCCACATGGCCCAAGCCGTGCCTGGGCAGCTTTGGCAACACATGCAGAGTCATGCAGTGGAGTGACAGGTAGGCCTCATGCACATTACAGCGAGCCCTTCTGCAGGAAATGTGGGAGAAGTTCCACGGGTGTCTGCGTACGTCGAAGCTTGGTAAGAATATCTGGAAGAAAAAATAAAGATTATATAATATATATGCGTCCTTCTTTTTGGGCCGTGTAGTGCAGTCAACGCATGTCAACGCAATCCACAGGGATAGGCGAGGGAAGGGAAGGTTTCGAGACTTGGAGTCGGAACGGAGAGCTCCGCACACTACGGAATGAGAGCATTTCAGTCATTTGTTTTTCGATATCAGCAGTACTCAGCATACAGACTGCTTGGCTTTGTGCCAGTCGTGGGGTACTGTTGAAGCAAACATGCCATCTTGCTAGGCAATGCTTCCAGTGGATGCATCAAGCTTTACCGCTCATCCAGAGCTTGCTCTAAGTATGGCTGATGCTGGCACCTTGGAACAATCCTTGGAATCGTTATTTTTGTACCAGACCTATTTCCCGCTGCTTCACGTTGATAAGTGGCCCTTGAGTGCACTGGCCTTCAGGTTCAAGCCTCACTCTTTTCGCTGCATGGGCAATAATAAATCTAGCAAACTGGTCAATATAGGAGGATCTGCCGTCAGCAAGGAATTGAACATGTCTCGCAGGAGACCTTTGAACGTATTGGCTGAGGACACTAGATACGAGAATACTTGACTGGCTTGGTCAACCACTCTGTGCATGCACAACATCGAATAGCAGCAATGCTCCATCAAGCTTGGCAATAGCCACAACCGCATGTAGCACCTAGCTGCCACGTACAAACATGGCCATGGTGATTTTTCTGTGGCTGGATGAGGTTCTCTCGAACTTGGGAGCAGAGAGCTTTTGGCTTTATCCCGCAGTGTGTGTGGGATTTTTGTCCTTGTCAGTTTGGATTGTCGACTGCATTCATGCTGGAAGCTCGAGATATTTGGCCAAACGGCGGCCAGAAGTTCTTCCAGGGTTTGCCCGACTATGGCCATGCTGTTCCTGGACACCTACGTCCTTCGCAGATTGTAGGGATTTGCTTGTGAACGTGAGCCATGGCGTAGAGGAGACTGGCCAAACAGTGAAGTCTCAGATGCAAATGCATGAGTTTGTGGACTTACTGAACTCAATTGATGAACATTTGGGTCAACTGAAGGGCCAACCACAGGGTGCCACAGCTGCTGCCCCTGCCACACCCTATTTGAAACAGCTGGACCTAGATGTTGCGATGCCTTCAGAAGGATTCGCGCACAGCAAGCGACTGGAGAGTCTCGATTCGGGGCTTCGATGGTGGGGGACCAGAGTGCAAACGAACTTTTGGATGGGTTCAAGCGGTTGCCTTACTGGTTTGCATACCGATGATGAGGACAATTTCTTAGTCCAATGCCACGGTACAAAGCGGGTCTGCCTTTTTCCGCCCGAGTGCGCTAAGAACCTCTATGTGAATGCCAAGTATGATGCTGGCTCAAGAATAGCCGTGTTCGTTTGTTTTTCTCCTGTATGGTTTGGCTTTTTTTCTTCCTGCTATTAACCATTCAAAGGGATAGGAATAATTAGCTACTCCTGATGTTACATGATTGGTGCAAGATACTGTTGACACTCCTGCCAACACCATGTTTATGGGTTTTGGTGGGCGCTTGCCAAAAGACGCTTCAGATGCTACATTGCAGTTTGACATTTAATGGTCCATGGTGTCAATTGCGGGAAAGCAAAAAAAAAAACAATTGAGTGCACACTTCCCTGACCAGAGGCAAGGGCACCAAGAGAGCAGAGCAGGCCTAAGAATCAAGAGATTTGAGGAGGATAGACAGGAGATGACGAGAGGAGACCAGAACAGGCAAAGCTGAGAAGGTAGGAGGAGATTTGAGCGGAATTAATTCGAGGGATTGTATGCGAAGATACGACAAGAAGACTACCACAAGCTGGATCACGCCTGCCCTGCGTCGATTGCGGCAGAGTCTCTCGTGGCGCACCACAGCACGAATGGCGTTTGAAGCACCACACCTTGTAACATCACAAAGTTTTATGCCCTGAAATCCCACGGTGGACGGTCACACAGAGTTGATGTTTGCAAGATGTTGCATGTGTTTGCAATAGCACTCGGATGTAGAATATTGATTCACTGGTCGGTGTGCACGTGTGCACTTGGTGCAAGGATAGTGGCACATTGTGTTGTGATGTCGATGCCTTCAATCCCGATTACGAGCGTCATCCGCTCTTTCACCGGGTCAAGTCCTGGGAAGTTGTCGAACTGAACCCGGGCGATGTCCTCTTTATTCCAGCATTTTGGTTGCTTGGCTCATTTTGGGTCCAACTTGTTTCAGAGAATGCAACATATCATTCATATGTTTCACCACATGTTTCACTTTCCATTTACACCCAGGTGGCACAGTGTTTTGACCACCTCCAGAACTTCCATCAGTCTAAACAGCTTCGTGAGTCGCCCAAGTGAACGTTTGACGCGTGGCGTTTGGAGACAACTGGTGCAGTAGAGTTTGCCCTGAAAAAATCTTTTGGCACCGTTTTCCATATGTTTCTTTTGTTTGTCAAACTATGTTGGTTGATGTTGGTTACATCTGGTTTTTTTCTTTGATTGTTTTTGTGTTGGTGTTGTTTGATGGTTTGGTTGTTTTCTGGTCTTTGTTTGCCAGGTGCACATTTGTCATCTCTACCTGGGCTACCGGAAGGGCAATTGTGTTTGTCATGCCAGCTGAGCGGCCCGCCGTTTTCATCCGCTTGGATTCACTCGTAGAGAAAGAGCGTTGAAGTGTTGAACGCAGATGTCGAATTGCCCTTGCTTGAGTCAAATGTAGCGTTCAATGCCACGTGCCACGTGCCAAGGCACGTTGGCCTACGACAAGGGACAAGTGAAACGTCAAAGTCGCGCAGATCGCGTACAAAGGTGGAAGGAGAGAAGACCGTTGCTGGACGAAGATCCCAAAGAGTGGTGAGCTGAGATTCCTTGCCCACTCTTGTTTGAAACGTTCCCTGAATTGCGTTGAATTGTTCTATGGTAAACCTGTTGAACTCCTTTGTACAAGTGCTGTATCGCTGTAGCACTTGCATCCCAGGCATGAATTGCCTCATTTGCCACCTGATGAAGACCATGGCAGGCAAGTGAAAAGCATCGTAAAACTGAAGTGTTTTGACAAGCTTGTTTTAGAGTAGGCCCTGTAGGCCGGGTTTATCCGGGTTTAGGGTTTATGCTAACATACTAGCAGAGCTTGCTCTTTTCAGATTGCCTGTCGCTCTTTGGCAGTGCTGGCAATATCACCCGCTATCACCCGCATGTAATATATCATTTTCCCGTTTTGAGAGAGTACGATAGCATGTCAGGCCTGCGGAGCTTACAGCACCTCAGTTAGAAATAGCGAAGGTGTTCAGTGGCGGAGTCACGGCTCATAGTGTTTCATTCTGAATTCGCAAAATGGAAATTGGAAAGGCAATTTCACAAACGAAAAATCAAGAAAAGTCAGCCCACAACCAACCGCGCCCCGTGTTCAACGAACGATGAAACGTCAGCCAAACAGCTTACCGGTCCTTCGGTTTAGCTTTCATGAGTGACAAGTTCAGAGATACTGACTCAGAGTTCATTTCCGCTGGCATAGTGGGCCGACTGTCACCGCTTCATCCCCGCCCTGCTAGCTTTCGTCACCAACCCTCGGCCTCAAGTCCCCACATGTTGAGATACTCTCCCTTTTCCCTTCTTCGGCGACTTGTCTCACTAGTCCATCGGGAAGCTTTTCTCTCTCACACTGAGGTGTTGGGACAGAAGTTGGTGGGCTTGGCGGAGTGGGGCTAAAAAGAGCGACACAGTGATGCCATGTGTGACACAACATCAAGGTGCGCCCTGAAACCATTTGAAGCGCATGCATATTCAGGGAGACAAGTTTAAGGGTTCTTTTTGGGAGAGATTGCACAGGGAGCTTTGCAGGCCTGAGTTGCTTGGAGCTTTGTGTTATTCAACTGACGGGGAAGGAAAACTCCCAAAGTGTCAATGAGATGTAAACTCAATGCAGATGACCGGAGCAACTGCAAAACTGTAAAGAGTAATCCGAGGCTCTGGCAGCGAGCGGAGGAGCAACTGCAACAGGCCTTGGCCAAGTGCAACAAGCGGAGCATAGCGGAGCTGCACCCGAAGCATAGGCCCAAGCCAAGTGCTTGCTGTAACGCAGGCACTGGAAGAGACAGGCAAGCCATGGAGCCTTAAGAAAGGAGACGGCCTTGGCCTCGGCATGCCTCAGCTGTCCGAATGCGTGGCCTTCTCTTGGAGCTCGCACGTTGTCAGCTTCTCTTACGCGCTCTCACACGTTTTGGTTCGATTTTCTATGCCCTTTTTGAGGTGCCTTCTATGGGCCGAAGATTGACATCCAGCTGCAAGATGCTTTGGGCCGTGGTCACCAGTACGACCCTCAGCACAGGACTTGAAAGACCTAGTTTTTAATTGAAACTTCTTGGCATTGACACACCGTACCGTACAAATTTATGTACAGTTCAATGAGGAATCCATCCGGCTTGGGCAGCAAAGGAATCGCTCTAGGAGCGTTCACCAAGGTGCGGAACGATCCAGCTAGATTTCCAACTGTCGGGTGCCAAGTCTTGATGCACGGTGAATACTATCGCCACATTTCTCAACCATTCCCCACTTGTACATGTAATCAACAGCTACCAGGAAAAGCGGTCATGAATTTCAGGAATATTGCTAAAACCTGCAAAAGTGATAGGCCCCCTCAAAAGCGATAATCATGTCGCTGCAGTTTTTCGATATCTTCAAAATGTGTTGAAAGTGTGGCTGGGGTTGAGGAGCGATAGGCGCCCCACTCGCAATCACGAGATGTTTTGGCAGACCCTCATATACATCATATACTACGTCTTACATACGTGATATACTACAACTACGTGTCCTTCCCCCTTCAAGCGAGGCCGTTGCGCTTCAACCTCCGTTATCAGAGTGAGAAGGGTGCAGAGGAGCACTCGTGGAGACCGCTTGGCTCTAGCTGAACAGAGCCGTTTATCTAATCATGAACATGCACAAAGCACGAAAAGAAAACAATCAAAAACGCAATTAAAACATGGTTCATCATTGTTCCTTGTGATTCAATCAATGTCTGTTGGCATTGTCAAGGAGTCAGCAAGCTCCACTGACGAGGCCAGTGTAGCGCTGCACTACTTCGGGCCATTTAGACATGAAAGTTCTGTATGGTGTGTGTGTGTGCACCTGCAGACAGCTGATGAGCGTTCGATCATTTCATTCACTCGGCATGTTTCAGAATAGGGCTTCTGGAAGTACTGTGCTCGTAGCCGCAGCCTCTTCAGGCTCATTTGTTGACAAACAGACCTAGACCGTGACTTGTCAAGAGAAACCCCCACATATAGAGGTGGAAGATTACGTGTGCAGCGTGAACATACAAGTAAACAGCAACTGAGCCCAATGCCTTTGATTCCAAGGGGTGTGTGACTGTTACATTCTAAACGGTCATTGCAAATTGCACCAATGATTATATTGTATTCTAGAGACTGGAGACCTATTCAGGAAGCTTCGAATGGGCCGCGTTGGAGTGCACCGTTCCGATGCCGAACAAAGCTGAAGATCGTTGACTCGGCGGCGACAAACAAACTATACGGCTTGATGCCTTCCGCAGGGAACGAGCGGAGTCTGACGAGTCGGAGCGAGTCGACTTGCTCCATTCGTGCTCACCAGGAGAAGCTTTGTGCCAATGTGCTTTGTGAAGCCGAGCTTTTCAAACACCAAGTGCAGAGAAGCCAGCGAAGCCCGTGGCTCGTTTGGACGGAAACACTGTGTTTCAACTGATGGTGCTCGAACCTTGTTGCCTTGCGGTTTGGACCAAAACCAAGGAGACCATTCAGTGACAAAAATGAACACCTTGCAAGAAAAGAAAGAAAACTGTGAAGCCCTTTTACAAACCTCATTTCCGAAATTGCATGTTGCCTTTTAAAAAATATTCTTTGCCTTTGCCTTTTCTGCCTTGCGATTTCCCACAACGGTGTGGACATGGAGAACGGGACGTGCGTTGTCAAAGCTACTAGTAAGTCACGCAGGGAGTCTCGAGTCTCGACGAGTCTCGACCTAAGGATGTTCACTTCGCAAAGGACCAGGGCACTAGAGCGCCCCGACGAGAATTTGGTCGATGGAAAGATCCAAAATGCTCCTTGGCAGAAGGCTTCGAAGGCTTCACGAAGCCCAGAAGCACACTGTGCGAGTTCCTCGCTCACCGTTTCTTGTAGTTGTGAAGTCAGGTTCCGATAGGGTTTCACTACCTGGAGTGGGTATTTCACCAAGGGTACCATTTGGTTAAGCACTCCGCCCCAGGAGAGTTTCTCGGCAAAGAGTGATCAAAAAGAGTTGCTCAAAGAACTCGCACAATGCAAAGAAGAGTCACTAGAACGCGAACATTGCACAGCAAGAAGCACGAGGAATGGCAAGGCTGGCCATCCTGCTTCATCTCCGCCATCGCGTCCAGCCAGAAAAAGTGCCGTGTGCATTTATTGGCACGCACCAACCCAGCGATGGGCAGTGCCTTATTTCTCAGATGGGAAGAAGACCACTCGAACGTTTGCGGTGAAAAAATTCCTGGACGAAGGAATCGACAAAAGCGAAGCACTGGCAAGGGCACATGATGAGGCCAAGGCATATCGAGCAGAATTGGTGGACAAGGGGCTCCTACGTGAGCTACAGGATGAGCACAGACAGTCAGAAGCTGGA